TTGCAGTTTTTAACAAGAAGTCAAAAATATCACTTTTTACCAAAAATGACAAAAATATTCACCAAAAATAGAGAATTTGAGATTTGGACATGAAATGAACAAATCTGAGAAAGAACCATCCAAGGTACCTGCATATCAAATTTAAAAACATTCTGACTTGCGGTTTCGAAGAAGAAGTTGAAATTGTAAAGTTGACGAGACGGACGCCGGGCGACGACGGACAATCAATAATATGAACAGCTTCGCTGTGTTGACTTTGTCGACAGTGGAGCTAAAAATGAAATGAGGTCACATACCCAAATGTCCAATCTTAGTCAATGCATCCACTCTGTCTCTTTCGTTGCCAGTTTTAATTCTATCTCTTAAATCATTGTGTACTTCTTTACCATGGCCAGTTCTACCCAGTGTTTGTGCTGCTATCTTTCTGACATCTTGGTGCCAATCATACCACATTAGTGTTGACAGTTTATGTGTCAAGTCCTGCAACAAAGCAAAGTACCAGTCTGACATGGTAGGTTACATGATGCATCAAATATATACATAAAGTTTCTAAGTCACTTGAAACAAGCAGAATCTTAACAGTCAAGATTTTTTTTAAATGATTCACATCATTCATACATTATGCCTAATTTATTTCATTACACCTGAAATGAAATAAAATTCCAGGACTTCTTTTTTATGAGTATTCCAGGAATATTCACAACTTCAGTTGTTTTTTTCTTACTCTTTTTTTATTTTTCAAGTCAATGTCAGCACTATAAAGTGTCTTGTAATGAGGTTTTACACTAATCACCATCATCCAAATGCTCCACTTCTTTACATTTTTATTACTTTGCAAAACTAGTGGCTTCTTATGCCAATTGTTCAATCTCCAGGACTGAATGACATTTTACCAGGACAATTTTAAATTTCCAGTATATTGTGTGAACCCTGATCACGTCAATATTATTTACAAACTTTGTTGATGGGTCAACAAAATTGGCATGCTTAATATTAAAATTTGATCTTATCAGTACTCTGTTGAATTATGAAGATGTGTTGTGAAAATAGACCCTGGTTATCAGACGATAACAGGGTAGTACTTGAGGTTGTGTGAACCAGCAAACCATCACAATTCATTTACTGTACTTGAAGAAATTGATCATGTATATTCTACTTGTAACTGAAACAGAAATTCAATTTCAACTGTATGTTCTTTTAAATAATGGCCTTCATATTTTGTGCACGTTTTGGTAAATCTTTGTCAAGTTATCACACAATATATAACACTACTGTTTATTTCCTAGTGAGCCACACATACTGCAGGAAGGTTCAGTAAATGTATAATGGTATTATTTTATTTAATTGTGACACTCATCATTTTTAAAGCTAGAACTAACTTACCTTGTTTATCTGTCCATAAAGTCTGGGTAGTATTTTACACGCCATGAGTCTTTGTTTCCAACTCGTACTATTGAGTTGTTCCGCTACCATAGAGTGGACAATATTAGACTGGCTACTTAGTTTACACAGCAATGACATAGCCTGTTCATACTGTACCATGTCATCTGTCGTGAATATCTGCTGGATCAATTCACCAACACAAAGGAATCACACACGCCAGCATGAGCCAGACACTGTGATGCTGCCCATCTTTCTGGACTGTCACCATCTCTCAGCACTTTGTTGAGAATTCTTGTGGCCTGCAAATTTGTCAAGATGGAGTTATTAATGGGTATAGTTCAAACATAGTGTGTTTACAGTGTATTGATAATGACTGTGTTGATTCGCTTAGATTTTAGTGCAATAGCAGAGGAGAATGAGGGCTATGATTCGATCAACTTCTATTGATGTTTCAAGGAAACTACAACATGGCTGTCTGTGTGGGTGGGATGCATATAGGGAAAATACAAAAATGGGTAGGCATTTGATCCTGTAGTGTCATTTTCTGTATAAGAAGTACATGCATCATAGAGGTACATGCATCACAGAGGTACACACATCATAGAGGTACATTGTGTACATGCATCACAAAGGTACACATATCACAGGTACATGCATCAGAGAAGTACATGCATCTCAGAGAAGTACATGCATCACAGAGATACATGCATCACAAAGGTTCACTCATCACAGAGGTACACGCATCACAGAGGAACATGCATCACAGAGGTACACGCATCACAAAGGAACATGCATCACAAAGGTACACTCATCATAGAGGTACACGCATCACAGAGGAACATGCATCACAGAGGTACACGCACCATAGAGGTACATTGTGTACATGCATCACAAAGGTATACATACACACATCAGAGAGGTTCACAAATCAAAGAGGTACATGCATCACAGAGGTACACACATCAC